CGTCACCTTACAACTGTTAAGGAGTTCTCCATCGGGGGCGATTGGAGTGCGTTCGCTTGTCGATTTTTGGCGGCGGTACGAACGGCAAGGTGGACGGACGCCGAGGCGCTGGAGGTGCTTCCGACTCTCCTTGACGATGAGTCTGTTCGTTTTTTTCGCTCTATAAAAGCTGCGAAGAAGAAAACATTGCGTGGAGTGTTCGACGAAATGGCGGACGCGTACGAGCCACCGGATGACGCCCATCGCCGCTTCGTGCAGCGGCAACGCGCACCGGAGGAGTCGCCTGTAGCGTACAGGGGCGCCGTGCTGGAACTCGCGATGGCCGCTTACCCGGAGACGGAGCCTGACCTGCTGGAACCTCTCATCTTGGGGAAGATGTTGGAGTTATCCCGGGATCTGGGCATTCCTATGCCGGCTTGCGGTCACGAGAAACTCACGTCCCGGACCGCGGCTAAGTGTTTGGACGCCCAGTTCAATCTCCGCCGCTGGAAACAAGTCACGGCGTGGACGGGCGGTCCTGTCGTCGATGGGGGGGCCGTAGGGTGGGACCCTACAAAGGCCGTGTACGTGCCGGATGCGACCGGCCCAAAGGAGCTGTCGGCCGCCTCCACTCCGTGGCCGGCTCGAAGCGAGCCGGGGCCGCGGGCTCCGCCGCCGGCGCGGCCACGTCGGGACGGGGTGCCTGCTGCGCGCCGACCCGACGTCGACTGTTTCCGCTGCGGCCGTCGGGGCCACTATGCCAGGGACTGCTGGGCCCGGGTTCCGGGGCCGCCCCAGCAGGAGGCCTCGATCGCGGACGTCCCAAAGAAAGACCCTCCGGCACAGACAAGCCGGCCGTGACAGCGCAGGGAGGAGGACCTTCCGCTTGTGGGACGCCGACCGGAGCCGCAGAACCCACGGGACCTGCAGCTCTTCCTATCCCTCCGCGGACGCGAGTACGGGATGTTTCTGGACGCGAGCGGGACAGTGGCGGGCCTCCAATGGCGACGGAAGAACTTGCGCCCGTCGCCCCTAAAACCCTTCCACGTTCCCGCTCGGCGGGTGGGCCGCCGACCGTCCGGGACGGCCCGGCTACCCGTACTCGCTCGAAATCCCTCACGTTTCGTTAGATTGTGTTGTGTTGTGTTATTGTTATAATGTTCTTCAATGCTTCGTGTCTTTTTGCGTGTTGGCCCTTTACACCCGCATTGCTTTTCAGGTTGCAATTCAGCCGAGGTCGGCTGGATTTTCTTTAGGGGGGAGGGTGATGTAATGCGGTTGTAAACGGCCCTTCTGAGGTGCCGTCAGGGGGGGAGGAGTTAGGTCACGTGGGGGGAGAGGGGTTGAGTATAGAAGGAGGGGAACCGGAAGAGCAGGGGGAGTGACGGGGAACCAGGAACAGAGGAAGGCCACGAAGGGCGAAGCGGGGTGTGGCGAGATCGCCACGAACACGGGGGGAGCGAGGATCGGCACCGTTGGCCAGCGGTGACCGACCCGAAGCAGCGAGGAGGCTGCAGTCAGCAGCGGGGCTGCACAGAGAGAGTGGGCAGCGGGTCTGCATACAGTGACAGCCAGAGGGTCTGCACATAGGGGTAGCAGCAAGTCTGCAGGGAGGAGGTTACAGTAGATGAAGCAGAGAGTCAGAGGGGTGAGGAAGCTATAATAGCAGTGAATAGCCGGGGGCTACAAATACAGGAGTTATAACAGAGTGCCGTGTGGGTAAAGACGTGAACCTGAATAAAGACACGAAGACAGAAAGAAGTGTTCGAGTCCTTTTATTACACTAATAATGAATCCTCAGAATATCAGCCATAGCGTCTCTATAAAACACTCACAGATACACACAGCATAGCAACAGCATCTTCATTCAATAATACACAAGTGTAGGGGTTAATAGAGCTCATGTATGACTCCCGTACACGTTAACGTAGAGGTGTTGCAATACATGGGCAATAGTAATGTATCTATCTGTATGTATGTACAGTGATACACATGATCAGCCAAAGTTATACCCCCGTCTAACTCTGTGAGCCTCGGGTATTACCCTTGAACGTCAATAATCCTTAAGGTGCTTTAATTTGGGATATAGCAGCCTCAATAATTATGAATGAATCCTGAGAATCCTAAGGCTGCCTTAGTCTGGTTCTGAGCCTCCGGCATTATCAAAAGACCCCTATGAATCAAAACGGTGATGTAGTCTTCCTCTAGTCTGAATATAACATCCATTACAGAAAAGACTTACACACATATAATCATATGCTACAATGATTAATTTAGCCAACAGCATCCTCACTGGAAAATACACACGTGTAAGTTCAATGGAGCTCATGTAAGAGTGAAATACACTCATGTGTTCGCGATATTATATTGTCCAGGGAATACATTACGGTCATCACGTCTATCGTTGTAGTCATAGACAAGGTTGACCAAGGTTATGAATTAGTCTGGCTGTGAGCTTCAACCATTAACTGGGGAACCTAATAATTCTAAAAGTGCATTAGTTTGACTCTTCTTCTTGGTTCTTTCGGTAAAGTCACGTAGAAGGGAAGTAATAAAATAATAAAAATAAAACATAATAAAATAATTCTCACGACGTTTCGGCCACAACGCAAGTAGCCGTCCTCAGATGAAACCAGGTCTGTCGAGGCGGCAGCGTCTGAATGAAACAGCACACATGCTTGGAGCATATATATAAGCTGGGTTGGAAGGGGGGGGGGAGAAAGGGAGCGCCTTGACAAAATAATTTGCATATCAAGAGGAATCCAGCATACCCATGGGAAATGCAGGTATGTGATTAGTACTACTTGTGTAAGTGCATTATGCAGGATTAGCAGCATCACAGGGAGGGGATAGGGGTAGCATTAATAAAGGGAAGAAGTGTTAATAGTATCTAGTTGCAGTAACTAAAACCACCAAGTAAACAACTAAAGTATAAACTACATTGTATCATCATTATACTAGATATACTCTACAATAAGCTGAGTTACTAACAGTAAGTAATACATTATAATTCTACGTCATAAAATATAATATGCTTCCATCTAAACTTTAATATCTTATATCACACGATTCTACACCATACTATATATTGCCATAGACAAACCCAAACATTAAATTAAACTATTTGTTATTATACACTGTACCGTTGACCGTCGTGTGAAAGATACTGAGGAAGCAACAAAATATGTCTTCCTCTCAGTATCTTTCACACGACGGTCAATGGTACAGTGTACAATAACAAATAGTTTAGTTTAAAAAATGTATATGCTTAATACAATGTACAAAGTAATACAATATATAGTATCGTAATTGTATAGTGAATATACAGCAGTGTGATATACATTAGGGTGGGTAGAATAATACATAATGTAATATTACAATGGATAAGGTATGGGGTGGTTTATAGCAATACAGTATATAATTTAATGTTTGGGTTTGTCTATGGCAATTTATAGTATGGTGTAGAATCGTGTGATGTAAGAGAATAAAGTTTAGATGGAAGCATATTATATTTTATGACGTAGAATTATAATGTATTACTTACTGTTAGTAACTCAGCTTATTGTAGAGTATATCTAGTATAATGATGATACTATGTAGTTTATACTTTAGTTGTTTACGTGGTGGTTTAGTTACTGCAGCTAGATACTATTAACACTTCTTCCCTTTATTAATGCTACCCCTATCCCCTCCCTGTGATGCTGCTAATCCTGCATCATGGACGGGCAAAGTAGCACTAATCACATATCTGCATTTCCCATATCCCCTCCCTTGGATGCTGCTAATCCTGCATAATGCACTTACACAAGTAGTACTAATCACATATCTGCATTTCCCATATCCCCTCCCTTGGATGCTGCTAATCCTGCATAATGCACTTATACAAGTAGTACTAATCACATACCGGCATTTCCCATGGGTATGCTGGATTCCTCTTGATATGCAAATTATTTTGTCAAGGCGCTCCCTTCCCCCCCCCCTTCCAACCCAGCTTATATATATGCTCCAAGCACGTGTGCTGTTTCATTCAGACGCTGTCGCCTCGACAGACCTGGTTTCACCTGAGGACGGCTACTTGCGTTGTGGGCGAAACGTCGTGAGAATTAATTTATTATGTTTTATTTTTATTATTTTATTACTTCCCTTCTACGTGACTTTACCGAAAGAACCAAGAAGATGAATCCCTGCAGTCACGAAAGCTTTAAATCGAAATTTAGTTTGACTCTCTGAGCATCAGGCTCTTGACACGAAGCCTATGAATCTTAAAAGTGTCTTCGTCTGGATTATGATTTTTGGGTATTAACAATCAACCATTCGATTCCTAAAATTACCTTGATTTCGTTATAAAAGCCATAGGCTTCATCATTGAACTACACGAATCCCGCAGGCTGCCTGTGTTTCCGCTTTGCCGATGTTTGCAAGGCGTACTAGGTACTCATTAAGGCTGAGCCGACCTAGGAAAGGTCCAGATTTGGTTCTGAACTGATGCAAGTCATGGCCTGTTGGTGACCATGTTTGCATCTCAGTGCACAAATCATCCCATCTTCACTGAACATCCGTATTCGCTCTCGCTCATCCATACACATTAGCATGGTTGGCTTCTTACGGTGTGAAAGAGGTTCAACATTTATCCATACAGACACTATGAGAAGGAAAAAAATACCCACGTATTTTCTTAACGAACTTTTTGGGTAAGTGCTGTAATCAAGCACATATGAACGCCGGCATGGCACACGAGGGGGTTGGTGGCCAGCACCACGCCCGGCCGCCTTTGTCTCCCCAGTGGTGATGTTTACTGCACACCGCACCAGGTACTCATTTGATGCTGCGTCGACCTAGGGAAGGCCCTGGACGGGTTCAGATAATGCATCGCTGGTGTTTTCTGTGAGTGAGAATCAAACTCGGGTATCCGAATTCATAGCGGATCATTTTAACCACGACACCTCCGCTCTGCAACATGTACAAGCACAATAATACGCGCAATAATACACACAAACGTGACAAGAGTTCGTGGAACTTACACATGAACGCCAGCTGGTTTCTTATCGAGGCGATGTCCTCTTCCTTGGGAGATGGAGGTGGAGTTCCCTTCTGAGTATCTCTCCTGTGAGACCAGAACCAGCAGCGACTCACACAGCCCGTGTCTTACACAGCACCAACACAGACAGCACCACCACAGTATCATCATCACAGCATCATTCACAGCATCAAACACCTACTTCCTCTCATCTCCACTGAAATTGCCAACACATTGGCATGTTGCATAGTTGGGTCTCGCCTCGACTATTGCAACTCCGTCCTAGTCCGGACATCCACTGGCAACCTAAAAAAACTTCAAAGACTACAAAACAACCTGGCACGCGTCGTCATTGGCCGCAGTCATCCCCGTCTCAACTAACTTGCCTGTCTCCGTGCCCTCAACTGGCTGCCCATTGCCAGCAGAGTCATATACAAGATTGCCTGCCTCTGCCACCATGCATTCACAGCTGCCTGCCCGCCGTACCTTTCTTCATTATTGAAGACTTGCAGCTCAGCACACGGCAGATGCCTGCGCAGCACGACTCACGACCTCCTCTTGATACCAAGATCCAGGATGGTCATGTCTATGTGCCGCTTCTCGGTGGCAGCCCCAAAAGTCTGAAACGCTATCACTGTGCACATTCGCACCACCTTAATCGTCTCCTTCAAGAGACACTTAAAAACTCACCTCTACAACCCCGCTTTTGAGTGACTCTGAGCTTGGCTCCGTGCCTCTGAGTTGCGGCCATTACGTCCGCAAATTTGCGTGCGTTATAAATTGCATTATTATTATCATCACGCCATCACAGAGCACATGCCTTACACAGCATGATCACATACAGTATCATCGATCACAGCATCATCACACACAGCATCATCTACTCACACACACATCACACACAAGGCGTCACCCAGTGTGTTTATACTGGTAGGAACCTCTGGTTACACCAGCCCACAGGGGATTATTCTGTCCGTCGTGCATTCCAAATATGGGAGGGGTGGGTGGGGCTGGGTGGAGAGGGGAGGGTGGGGAGGGGCTGGGTGGGGAGGATGGGGAGGGGCTAGGTGGGGAGGGTGGGGAGGGGCTGGATGGGGCTGGGTGGGGGGTTGGAGGGGTGGGGCTGGATGGGGAGGGGCTGGTCACCCCGTGGTGCCCTAATAACACGTTCCTTCGGAGTGGGCAGGTAGGAACTTGGTTGGACAGCGCAGCGTTCAGGGGGAGGGGGGGCAGTTGGATGAGTGGGCATGTTTACCCTTCCCCCCCACCCTCCCCAACATCGTCAACCAATCGCGGCGTAGCTCGGTGTTCGGTGGGGAGGTGCATGGGTGGGCGGAATTCCGGATATGCATGACAGACAGACAAATAATCCCTGGTGGGCAGTGTGGAACCTGTTGTTCCTACCTGTATAACACTCTAGGTAACTAAGACTCACACACACATACACTCACTCTCACACTCTCGAACTCACACACACACACTCTCACACTCTCAGACTCACACACATACACTCACTCTCAGACTCACACACACTCACACTCTCAGACTCACACACACTCACACTCTCAGACTCACACACACACTCACTCTCACACTCTCAGACTCACACACACATACACTCACTCTCAGACTCACACACACATACACTCACTCTCAGACTCACACACACACATTCTCAGACTCACACACATACACTCACTCTCACACTCTCAGACTCACACACACACTCACTCTCACACACACACTCACTCTCAGACTCACACTTTCAGACTCACACACACTCACTCTCAGACTTACACACACACTCAAACTCGCAGACTCACACACAGATACACTCACGCTCACACTCTTAGACTCACACACACACTCTCACACTCTCAGACTCACGCACACACTCTCAGACTCACACACACATACACTCACTCTCACACTTTCAGACTCACACACACATACACTCACTCTCACACTTTCAGACTCACACACACATACACTCACTCTCACACTCTCAGACTCACACACACACTCAGCGCGGGGTTCAGGGGGAGGGCAGTTGGATGAGTGGGCATGTTTACCCTTCCTCCCCACCGTCCCAGACATACGTCAACCAATCGCGGCGTTGCTCGCTGTTCGGTGGAGAGGGGATTGCATGAGTGGGCGTGTTTACACCACGCCTCTACCAATGGCGGCCCCGCTCGGCGTTTGGGGGGGGGGGGGAAGTTGGATGATTGGGCGTGTTTACCTTACCCCCACCCTCCCCGACATCCAAAACCAATCGTGGCCCTGCTCGGCGGTCGGTGGGGGTGGGTGCATGGATGGGCTGCATTCTGATGCACGACAGACAAATAATTCCTGTTGTTCCTACCTGTAAAACTCAACGTTTAACCTACTCACGCCGGCTTGTGCCCGCCCTCACAGTCGCCCATATTTGCGGAATACACCACGCCGCCGTTGACCCTGGCCATTGACCGAGCAACCTAACGTTCCTACCAGCTCCCTCCGCAGGAATGTGTTTTGTGTGAGTTCATGAGTCCATACCGGTTTGTCTCCTTCAGGTGAACCTGCAGGAGTCAGACACAGGGGGCGCTAGTTAGTTCACATCCAGCCACGTTAACCACACAGTGATTGGTAGACACGATGATCTGGGCTGCGCTCAGCCATTCGCAGATCCCAGTGTTGTTGGTTGTAAACAAGGAAAAGCCGTGGACTCGTTTGGACTCGATGGTTCTCATCAGCAAAGTGTGGCCTCTAAAATCGTGACCACATGGTACCCGATGTCACGGGCAAGAGGCGTCCATAGTGCTTGACATCGAGTCACAGTGATTGTGACCCAACATTCAAAATAATGATCAATCTCTGGGTTGGTTTCACATTACTGAGACTCATCAGCAGCCAGTGCTAAAATACAAATGCTTCTAACTTTACTGATGTTAAAGGCGCTTCTGTTTTCAGTTTTCCTAAATGTTGGTCTATATTTGGTTACATGAATAATCAAAATTTAGCGTCAAGTAGCCTTAATCTGTGGTAAATTACAGGACCATGCTGTTACAGTTTTTAATGCCAACATCTGCCTACATTACCAACCATTTATTAACTCGTGGGATTTGTGTGTTAATCGTTTATTTATTCTTTGGAAATTCAGCAGTAATTTTTATTTTGATGAGAATATACAAATCCACGTTGGTGAACTTGATTCTACGTTTAATTTCAAAATGCATGGGCTATAGGTTGTGTTGAAGGTACAAATGTTATTATCCTGTGCTTTGTGATACATCGCATGTGACACATTTATAAATGCACAGACAGTCCTCGATTTATGAACACCGGGATTTACAAAACAGCTTCCTTGAAATATATATATTTTTTTACATTGACTTAAAACGCAAACTCACACTTGCAAACTAAACCGTGGAACTATTTTTTCAGCGGAACGATCCTCCACGAGATGAGTCAGCTGCATGCTCGGAGTGAGTGTGTGTTCATGTGTTTGTGCCCGTGGGCAAACATGTCGAGCAGTATTATCCTTACATCGGTTGCGTAACACTGTGTGGAAGCTACCTGGTCTGTCGCTCCACACAAAGCTTCAGGTCTTCTTGGCCACAGTCATGCCCTCCCTTCTCTACACTTGCGAAATGTGGATCCCCCTAATGGAACATCTTTGCTGGTTAGAAACATTTAGGCTGGCCTGCCTACAATCCATCCTGGGTTTAACCAGGCTGGATTGTGTGAGGAGTTCACAAATCCTTGAAATATCTGGAAAAAGTCCCATCGGTGAGCTCCTCCGGCAGGCAAGGCTGGGTCATGTAGACCATATGCCCAGCGACTGCATGCCTAAACAGCTTCTGTTTGGCCGGATAGAGGGGGCTAAACGGGCGCGGCACGAGCTAGAGAAGACATGGAGTGATGTGGTACAAGAGGATGTGGAGCTGAGTGGACTTGCTGATGACTGGTACCAGCGGTGTTAAGATTGGCCTCTGTGGAAGAGGCTCATGAAGGATGCTACTAGGCAGTTGGAGGCAGTGGCCCTCCAAAAACAATGGAGGGCAAAGAACCGACGCTCGCAACAATGAGCGGAGCGCCGGGTGGCTAATGCCCAGCAAGTTGGCACAGTAGGGGGCACAGGTGGTGCATTGGCCAGTCATCTCAGTTTGTTGACCCGTGGCACCTGGGTTTGCCCCGTGACCTCCTGCCGGTGGACGTTCAACACTTCACGTGACCTCAACGTGGACATAGCCTGGCACAAGCGCCGTAGTGATGTTACAGCCACTTAGTGGTGAATGGCGGTTGTTGTTGTTATTGTGTGGGGAGTGGTAGCGCGCTGCACTATCAACCCATGGGCGCTGGGCCTCTGCTATGTCGACTCGGTGTGTAAACATCGCCACTGGGTAGTCAATAGTGGTCAATGGTGGCCGAGCGTGGTGCTCCCCACTCACTCCCTCGTGTGACGTACCGGCCTTCACAGTTGCTCCTCTTCAGTCTGTTCAGGCTATATGGCACATTGTTGTCATTGGAGTGTGTCTGTGTGTGTACGTCTCTGTGTGTGCTTGCATGCCCCGTGTGTGTGTATTTGTTGTGTCTATCATTGTGTATTTGTCTTGTGTGTGAGTGTGCGTGTGACCCGTGTGTGTGTGATCAATTGTAGTGACTCATTGCGCCCCTTCCAACAAGACAGGATCAGGACTCAAGGTAAGTGAAAAAAAAACCGATTTTTTTTTCCAATTTATTAATTTTATTTTACGTGTTATATACTATACAATGATTGTACAGTGTTACATGATAATGTACAATATTTATTCTTATTTACTAGTTTAACAGTGCAGTACTGTATTTCATAACACCGACTGTATCGGCATTTAAATAGAGTACATTGTTGTGTTCTGACTTACGAACGGGGCAGATGAACGAGTTGTGTGGGTAAGTCGAGGACTCTCCAAAATGAACACGTGAAATGGGACACTCGCCCTGGTTCTGCAAGCGCTCTACCTGCAGAAACGTGAGCGAGTCCCTCTCCTCCTGCAGAGCGCGCAGGCGCGTGGCTGCTGCCTGCAGCTCGCTGATCTCATGCTCGTAATGAGCGATGTTCTCCTCGATCTGGGACAGCAGCTCGATCCCGTTCATGTCCACGCGATCCAGAGTCGCCCTTTCGTCCTCATCCAGCGTCGCTCTCATGCGGGTGAACTCCCCTGAGATGCAAGCCTTGGTCTGGGCCATAGAATCCTGCAAGGGGTGTGCGATGGATTTTATCAATTCGTATTCAATGCTTTAAGACCAAAGTCACATTGTTTTCCAGTTACTCCAAACCTTTTTTTCCCTGCCTTCTCCTCTGTGGACTCACATCACATTGAACAGGTCGTTAACTTTAAGTATATAGGTGCTATCTTGCCCTTAACATTGATCATATCGCCAGTAAGATAAAAAAACATGAACGAAATCCTCTATATAAATAAACACATCGTCTCACCTGGGCTCCATCTTCATGTAGTCCAAGCCGCCATCCTCCCCACCTTTGACTCCTGTGACATCATTGACTGCCACGCCTATTGTTCCATTATACCACCTGGCTGCCCGCTTTGACCTTGATGCCTCCATATCAGCACATTATGCCAACCTCTGTATCACCTCCAATTTGTCCCCTCTGGATAGGTTTAGAGACCACCAATGGGCTGTCTTCATCCTAATATTCCTTTTAAACAAATCCGCCAAATATGTAAGGACCTCCTAACTCCGCAAATTCCCAGTCGCAACCTGTTCTCTCTAAAATTACCACATGTTAAAACTAGGTTTGACGACGCGTCCTTCCATGCTGCTGTTACTACCCCAAGTTACTGGAGTGTACTTGCCTCTCGGCCTAGGCTGGGCTGCCTCCCCAGCCTCCAACACGATTAGAAAGCTGCGTGATGAGTGAGATATGAACCACTGCTTGACTCTACCTTCACCAACCTGCACTGACCCGCGTAATTAAGTATGGCCAACTAGCCTCAATGATCAACACGATGTTGCGGAACCTTCGTCCAGAAGAGTATTAGTGAAGATCTGTAAATTATTTACAAAAACAGATAATCACACGATTCACTTTCTTCATAGATTGTCTCTGCAAATCACCAATAAAAGTATTTTGTACACAATCTATTGGCCCCACGGCCTTTTGGGACTGCATTATTTTATCAGTACAGGCAGACCTCGCTAAATGCTCAATATGCTTCCTGAAGTGAGCGCTTATCGAATCAGCGCTTAAAGGAGTCATTATACCATTGTATATACAGTATGGGGATGCATTCTTGTCAGCATTATTTCTTTCGGATGACCAATATATGAAGGCTTTATTGGGATATCGGTAAAAGCACCAATATTACAGATGGTAAACATTATTTCATGAATAAAAATAAGAATTAAATATAATAACCTTATGACATACTGTGCATAATACTGTACTCCTGCTACCATGGCAGCAGTGGGTGACGAGGTGGAGGAGCTTCTGCGCTCCCAGTCTGGGGTCATTCTCAGAGAAGAGCTCCAGGAGCTGCGTTATCTTAGCGGTGACCTCAGTCTACATTTTTGTCGTGAGGTTTCTTTTAGATGGAGCCTAGGACTCTATCCTGGTCGAGTGAGATCTCACCTCGCTAACATTTTATTAAACTAAATAGATTGTTTTAAAAATGAAATATATATCGTGATAATCAAATCACGGGGGGTGAGGTCTGGTTGGCTCAGCTTGCGTCGCTCTCAATGGCTGAGTGAATGATTGAGGGTGGGTACGTTCTTTGGCCAGCATTGCTGCGTGTTCCAACTCGTAAGATCTTTATAGGATACTAGCTGTACCCGGTGAAACATTCACTGATCTAGCAGATCTTAATGAAACATTCACGCATTTTTTTTACTCATATTTTTTAACAAAGATTTATCTAAAGACGCAATTGTAAATTTCTGTTTTTTTTCCGCACTAGATGAATTAATCACACGATACAACTCTTGATCGAGCAAGATATAATTGTCCTTGACTAAAAACAGACTTAGGTAAGTATAGGCATTTATTATCAAACGTTTGACCTTGTGATTTATTGATTGTCATTGAAAATGCCAATCGTATGAGGAATTGTGAGCATGTGAAACTGAATGGTAAACTTGTGTCTAATGGAACAAATGGGATTCTTGGAATAAGTACCCTGTCGGAGGTTGCTCCACCGATCATTTTTGCATAGATTATGTTAATTTGTATTTGAGTAAGAGTAAGTTTTATACCATTATGTAATCCTCACAATGCCATTATTTTTCTAAGGAGCATGATAACAGCTCCTACTTTAAGTTCTAGTTCATGAGGAGGCATTTCGTTTGGAGTAAGACCTTAACAATTCTTCCGGGAATGCAAGTTGATCAGCAGTATCATCACTCACATAAGTATCCATGCTCTTGAAAACCACTTCAGATCCATTGTTGAGATCAAGAGAGTCTCCGTTTGTAACATTGTATTGCGCTTCATTTAAAACCCGTCTGGCTGTAACTGCTTCAGACATAGGCTGTTATGCTGTTCATCGATGGACTCCGGTATTTGAGAAAAGCTCGCAGAGTGAATGTGAAGTCTCCATCGCAAGCTGCACTGGTCAAAGGCGTCAAGTTATATATATGATGAAACGCTCACTTGTATGTCATATATTTGGTTAGAATATAAATCCAAGCGGTTGATAGCAACTAGGCTCAGACCCATTTCCTTGCAGAAATATTAAAAGTATACGCAATTGCATAATTACCGTTTGCCTTATATGCACGACACCAAGATTCACCAATGCATCTTGATTTGAAGCTTTCGTGACTGCAGGAATCCATACTCTTTGGTTCTTTTGGTAAAGTCACGTAGGTAGAAAAATAAAAATAAGCAAAAAATAATATATCACGACGTTTCGATCGCAACACAAGCCATTGTCCTCAGGCGGGAAAAAAAAATCCAGCAGTGGAACTGCTGAACCAGCGAGAGAGCTGTTACAACAAGGTTATTTATGTGGCGATGGGCCAGCAAGCAGGGTCTGAGCTGGAAAATAATTTCATCCCTGGACGCATGCATGTCAGTTGTGTTAATGGGGGGAGATTAGGGAAAGAGAGATTAGGGAGAGAGATTAGCATGAAATGAACTTCCGCCGCCATGTAACATTATCGTCGCATTTGCGCACCACAGCAGTGTTAATGGGAGATTAGCACTATGTTGATGGGAGATATTAAGCAGGGAGATTAGGGGGATTAGCAAGTTAATGTCATGTCTACGTGTAACACAAGCCGCGGCACTGCCAACTGCGCTGTGAGGCAAGCGCGGCCACACAAGCGAATCAAGATTGAACCGCCTTGACGGGGAGGGTTTCCACACATCTGTTAGAGTTTTTAACAGACTGCGAGACAAGAAGGCTCACCTGATCGAGTCGCTAACCTTTCTCAAGTGATGCCGCTATAACAAGGTAATACCGATCACATTTACACTCACATCTGCTGCTGTCACTTCTCCTAAAGCTAAACGGATCTTTTTCCAAGCTAGGCCCTCGCTAATCTCAGAGAGAATAAGACTGCTCCATTTGAACTTGATTATTTAGACAAATGTCTCTTACAATCACAATCAGCATTAACAGACAAAATGTCCACATCTGATTGGGACCGTGTAGATAACATGACTGTTTCTTCTGCCGTGACAATGTCAACCAAATGTGAAGTTAACCTGATTGCTAAATTATTCAACATCCTGTCAATAAAGAAGCCAGATCCACACATTAAAAAGTTAGATGTTAACAAGATTGGCATCAATCAGAGTAACAGTCCAATTTCCGATAGCCTAAAATCGGTACTAGCTAGAGGGTTAAACTTTGCAGTCACCTCCAAACACATCCCAGTGGATGATATCATTGCCCAGGTTGACGTTGCACTCAAAGGTTTAGGTCACATCCCAGCAGACGTGGCAAGATCTGAAATCGCCACCATCCTCAAAAACGCTAAGAAACCCATTAGTAACATCAGAAGGAACGAGCACTCTGACCTCGCTCAATTGAAAAATAGAGTTGCTATTGTCATCCTTTCAGCCGACAAGGGCAATGCCATGGTCATCATGGATAAAACCACAAACAACAACAAAATCCAGGACCTGCTTAATGCTGACAGTTATACTAAATTCAACAAAGATCCTACCAACCGCCTGGCTACAAAAACCAACAATATCATCACTAATTTGACTTCTCTAATCGAAACAAACAAACAAGCAAGCTCTCTCTCTAAAACCTTCGGCTGCTAGACCACCCAGAATTTATGGTCTTCCAAAAATCCATAAATAAGGTACTCCTATCGTTTCTACCATCAACTCACCTACCTACAAACTGGCCTGATTTCTGTCAAAGACCCTGCTTCCATTCACGGGAAAAACCACCTCAGCAGTACTTAATTCAGCTCACTTGGTTTCTCTAATCAAGGACATTTCACTGTCTCCAGATGAATTGCTTGTCAGCTTCGATGTAGTCTCTCTGTTCACCAAGGTACCTGTACCTGACACCATAGCAATCAATGAAGACTTGGTCCAACAGGGACTGAATCCTGATGTTCCAACTTTGGTGAGGCACTGCCTTACCAACACTTACTTCATCTGGAATGGTACATTCTACAAACAAAATGAAGGTACCCCTATGGGTTCTCCCTTATCACCAGTGGTAGCGAATGTTTTCATGGAGAAATTTGAAACAGATGCCATCCTGACATCCACCCTACATCCTTCCCTGTGGAAGAGATACGTAGATGACACTTTCGTCATCTGGCCACATGGCCAGCCAGCAATGAACCAGTTTTTCAACCACATCAATTCCATACACCCATCCATTAAATTCACCATGGAAGTGGAAAATGATGGCAAGCTACCATTCCTGGATGTTTTGATCGAGAATAGGCCTGATTGCTCGTTGGGACATTCCGTCTACAGGAAAGCAACCCACACGGATTCCTATCTAAAGCCTGACTCCCACCACCATCAGGCCCAGAAGAACTCCCTCATCAAAACACTACACCATAGGGCCCACTGCATCGCCGACCAACGCCACCTAGCCAGTGAACTGGAGCACGTACACCAAGCCCTCAAGATCACTTATCTGAGGACCCAATGAAAACCATCACTTTGCCATACATAGCAGGTGTTAACAAAAAGATTTCCAAAATCTTAAACAAACACAAGATCCAAGTCTGATTCTATACAGTACACAAAATCCGTGATTTGATCCCATCTGGGAAGGATGTCCTTCCTGACATGCAATACCCTGGTGTCTACAAACTAAGTTGTGTCTGCGGCAGCAGTTACATTGGGGAAACGAAACGAAATGTTTTAAACCATGTTCGCAAACACAAGGCAGATTTGCAACACGGCAGAACCAATACCTCTGTAGTGGCTGATCATTGTTATAACGCAGTGGGCTCGCACGATATTGTTATTTCCGAGACCAAGGTACTCTGCAAACCTTCGGCCAACCTTCAAAGATTTATCCATGAAGCCACATAGATATATAAAAACTGTGACAATTCAAACCGAAAAGATGGGTATAAGTTGAGCAATCATTGGAAGGACATTATTAACCAAGCAAAATCGTAACTTGCTGTGGTGCTTACATTCTTCCCTGCCGTTTGGCTGTCATCTCCGACTCTCTGAGTTGCATTGTCCTGTTGGGTGCCTCTGCATTGGTGGGCTGGGGTCTCGGCTAGCGTGGCCACCTCTGCTCCCTTGGCCTCGGTGTGTCGATGGTTATGGCTTTGTGATGGGCTTTGTGTCTCACTGGCGCGGCCACCATTGCGGTGGTTCGCTTGCGTGGACGCGCTTGCCTCACAGTGCAGTTGGCAGCGCCGCAGCTTGTGTTACACATAGACGTAACATTAACTTGCTAATCCCCCTAATCTCCCTGCCTAATCTCTCCCATCAACATAGTGCTATTCTCCCATTAACACTGCTGTGGTGCATATATGCGATGATAATCTTACGCGGCGACGGAAGTTCATGTCATGCTAATCTCTCTCCCTAAACTCTCTCTCCCTTATCTCCCCCATTAACACAACTGACATGCATGCGTCCGGGGATGAATTCCTTTCCAGCTCAGACCCCGCTTGCTTGCCCATCGCCACATAAATAACCTCTTGTTGTAACAGCTCTCTCGGTGATTCAGCAGTTCCACTGCTGGATTATATTTTTTCCGCCTGAGGACGACCGCTTGTGTTGCGATCGAAACGTAATGATATATTATTTTTTATTTAATTTAATTTTTTTACCTACGTGACTTTACCGAAAGAACCAAAGAGTATTCAGCAGTTTAACACGTAGGCTTTCGCGACCAATATTATTAATAATCAACGTTTTTGTGTTAGATCGCATTATTTATAAATGTGTCGTAACCCTCCACCACCCGACACGGCCAATCAGCAAAAAAAGACGCTCATACATCGGGCTAAAACAGTGTCAGATGGTGAAAGTCTAGTGAGAGAGATTAAACATGTTAAAGAAGCACTAATACAGAATGGCTACAATAATGCTCAAATTAACAGAGCACTAAATGCCAAATCACGATCGCAAAGCAACACTGCTGAAAGCGATCAGATTGTTAAAATAATTAAAATACCATATATCTCAGGAGTAACTGACAAATTAGCCCGTGTTTTGCGAAAGCAAAACATTATAGTAAGATTTGGTACAGTACACAAAATTCAAAAACTAGTAACTTGCACTAAAGATGAATTACCTAAATTATCAACAGAAGGTGTATATCGGATTAATTGTTTATGTGGCAGATGCTATATTGGACAGACGGGGCGTAACATTAGTATAAGACTAAAAGAACATCAGAGAAACATTAAACTATCTCAAACACAACTGTCGGCAGTGGCAGAACATGCTTGCCAACAGGGACACTCAATTAATTTTGATAATGTTGAAGTGTTGTGTAAAACTAGTTACTACTGGCAAAGACTAATTAGAGAATCCATTGAAATTGAGAGAAACAGAAATAACTTTAACCACTCAGACAGCTACAGGCTTAGTGCGGCTTGGAAGCGTATTATTAAATAATACATATTACAATTCCTTATATGGGAAACAAACACTATTCAACTGATTACTAACATAGCATATAATTCCAATAACACACATTACAACTGACTACTAATCTACAACTAACATCGTAACAATTGCCTGATTACTAATCTAGTATATAATTACAATACCCCCCCCCCCCCCCCCCCCCCCCCCCGTCTCAAATTGCCGCACCTGATGAGTTAAATGATGACGTCACCCTGCTGCTGCTCTATTTAAGACCGGGAGCAAGAGCAGAGCCTCACCATTCTGGCGAATTGCCCGATGATGCTGGATGCAATTACCAGCGAAACGTCGTACTAAAAAAATTAGAAATGTTGTGGTTTCACGCTTCAACACACCGGTGGGCTAAAGCAGTCAACTATTTGTCTTTTGTCAACGTGACACCTTTTTTTGCTGATTGGCTGTGTCGGGTGGTGGAGGGTTACGACACATTTATAAATAACGCGATATAACCCAAAAACGTTGATTATGAAGTATTCAGCAATGAATACATCACAATGAACGCAAACTGCAATGCAAGTGAAACAAGTTTTAACATTTAATTATGTATGCATTGTCTACTTTATACTTGTGTAATGACGTCGGAGACACTGACTTTAGAGGCTTTATTTATTTCTTGACCTTTTCACAGCGTCGACTCGATGATACAGTCACGACTTGAGGACATACCGACGACCTACTATACAGCAACGACGGACTATATAGCGATGACTGACGACGAAGTGACAGCAGCGATGACCTGGTGTGGTAATAGTCGTATATACTGTCTCTGTTGTTACCACTCGTCTCCTATAATGTCTCCACACCTGAAGTTAACCACTCGTGGTCGCTAGTCCACGCACTGTCTCTACGCTTGGATGCGTGATGAGACGTTTTCCCTGCATTACCTGTAATATTTCTTCAAGTCATCTCTTGTGTTCTAGAATTAAAGAGATAAGATTTTTTACTATATTTTATCACAATCTTTACTTGTTTTAAGTGTTAGTTTGTAATCCAATACAATCGTTTCCCCATGCACTTTTATGTTATCAAACCCATAAAAAGTATTTCGAGTTATCCCATATACGGCTTTGCAGTGGTACTAGAAATTAACTTTTTGTCATAAACGTTGCATTTTAATATCCACATTCAACCAGCAATTTACATAATGTATTGCTCTTTCCTATTACACTGACGCCTCACGACGTTCGCTTGAATCTACGGAGTTGTCCTCACAGGAAGTCACAAATTCCACACAGGGTGAAGGTCACAGGGTAACAGAGCCCACGCGTGGTACCTGCACGTCCTTGCGAGTGGCCTTCATCTGTCCCACGGATGCCTCCGCCTTCTTCTTCTTCTCCTCCACCGCTCGCGTCTTCGCTCCGACTCTACTCTGTAAGAGACGAAGTCACCAGAGGGGACTCCACTCCCTGAGCGGGCCCTTCTCAGCCCCACTACACAGGGAGTACTCCACAGTGATGGCTCTATATTTGACCACCATAAGAGTGCTCAGTTTGTCAAGCTGGACTGACTTAACAGTATGTTAGCAAGTAGGCAAGGCTCAGTGATGAGAATAACAACTTCCTGATATTTTTTATTGAATGAGATGTGTAAGTTGCGAATATGTCAGCTCGACTCCTGGTGTTGTAGAGGCCACAGCAGGGGACAAGGACATGATCGTTCAATACAACGGCTCTTCACTTCACGAGCAACATCCAAACATGGCCTTCCTCCAGGACGCATCACACAAAAAGCGTCGAACCACCCTCCTCCTCCTTACACTCCAACTCTCGTCCCTTCCTTTCCTTGCCAAAAATGAATGGCTCCCTTGAACTGAAGCGATCCCATTCTCACACACTGAGGTACTCGCCTTTCGTGTCTCATGCTCATCCTCCAGTGTATCCACATCATGCCCTCTATGTTCTCCGGTAATGGTACAGGCCATGCACACCAGACTCGCATCCTGCTTGCAGTAGAATTTGAGCTCCTCTTTGTGCTTCTTGCATCTTCTTTCCTCCAGGCTGACAATGGGAGCCACCAGGACGTGGTCCATCAACTTGGGGTTTTTCAGATGAGGCTTCAGGTGGGACTCACAGAAGGAAGTCTCACACCTGAGGCAGGTCTTCACTGCAGGAGTCTCCCCATCATCACAGCCGTCACAGAAGACAACTCCGGCCATCCTCTCTCCAACTCTGAGCTGCTCCACCAGGTTGGTGAGCGCCACGTTCCTCTTCAGCTGGGGCCGCTCTGAGGGCGGCTGAAGCTGCTTGCTGTCTCCAAGGCACCATCCAGACACCGGAGGCAGAACGAGTAGCCGCAGCTCAGCGTAGAGGGGCAGTCAAACGTGCTCAGGCAGATGGGGCAGCTCAGCTCACTGTCTACACAATCACTGGGAGACGCGCTCGCTATGGCCCATGGCTTCACTCGGACTCAGTCGCTCGCCGCGGCTCAGAGAGGAGCTATCGCAGTAGCAGCAGCTCACACAGCAGAGACGAACAAGGAAATGGACTGACTTCACCTGCAGTTAAGTTATAAATACCTCGAGACACGCCCTGAAATGTTCCACACGGCGGCTGCGCTCACCTTTGTAGACGTGGCGTTACATTAACGCACTGTTGGCTACAACTGATTTGTGTGTTTAGTTTGTTGACCTCCTGTACTTCCCATTAGCATGGTTGGCTATGTACGGTGTGGAGGAAGTTAAACATACATACATAGCTTTGACCGGTCTCAAGTGATATAATTTTTATACAAACAAAACCCAGCAGCAGCAGCAGCCAGGGACGCAGCAATAATGGTTTGTCCCACAGGCTGATTGACCGGCTCGGGTCAAGCTGTGTGTATTGCACAATGGAACCGCACCTTGTACAAATATTCTGATGTAAAGGTTAACTTGTTTTTTTCCATCTGTGTCTTTATCCATTTATTTCTTGCAAGGCCTGTTTGTTTAAGCTTCGCAGTCTGTAATCATCTAACATCTTTATCAGCTAATATTTTAACAACTGGCTTTGTGTGTCCTCTGTTCATGTGTCAAATATGTTTTTGTTTTTTATTCCTACGACACCGTTTTATTCTGGGTGGACGGTGGTTGTATGTATGTTGAACTTATTTCGCAGCGTACGTAGCCACTCGAGATAATCGGAGGTATGTGAGTGGGTGGTGGTGTTTGAGTGAGTAAGTGGGGGGGTTATTTGGTGAGAGGGGAGACAGATGGGCAGGAGGATGGCGTTAAGGGTGGATGAGCAGGTGGCGAGAGAGGGCTGGAGGAAGAGTGGCTGGGAGGGCGTGCGATTAAGTGGTTGGGTCCCTAGGTGAGTGGCCTCACGCATTATCACAGCGAACAGCCCCTGGCTAAACAAACATCGTAGTTCATTTAAGCTCATTATCTACATGACTTTCACCGTCAATTTTCCTATTATGCGTAAAAAAAATCGAGGATTTTAATCTTAATAACCTAACAAATATATATTCATCACCTATTGTTAATGTGAATATTTTACATCCTGGACTCGCTGAGTTTGGCCGATTCTATAAAAAAAAACTATTTTTCCTTTACCAGGTAAGGCCCACTGAGGTTTATAGCTCTTTTCAGAAGCGGCCTGGCCACAATTGATAGCTCACAGACGTGGCTTATTACGTGGACATTTCTAGCAGCCAAACACTCTAAGCGCACTTTTCTAAGTGTGAAGGGAATCATCGGAGGATTGGGAAAAAAATTTAACCCGTAAAAACAAAGTTTTTCACTATAAATCCTTTATATGCGTGGCGGCTAGAGTCCTCTCGTCCTCTGGCTTGAGATGGCTTCCACCTATGGGTCAGATGAATGCCTGCCACCATTAAGCAATTGGTAATTAAATATAAAAAAAATTCCTAAAAAGTGTAAAATTTTGGAAAACATTTTCACGAAAATACATTGTCACGCACAACGAGTCTGTGTGCAAAATGTCAGCTCGATTGGATCACGGGAAGTGGGTTAAAAAACGACCGAAAGATTTGCACGGTCGTAAGCAAGCAAGTGAACTTAATATAAAGGATTTTAAAAATGCACGCGACCACAGGCAGAGAGAATGCAAACTCCAAGTACACGTACAGGCGTCAGGGCCGGGATCGATCCCACGACCTCCTGTACACCGGGCGAGGTAGTTAACATCTTCCAGCCACCGCAGCGAGATGAAAAATAAATCACAGAGCAGCGACAACGAACAAGGAAACGAGCCGACTTCACCTGCAGCTAAATTATAAACACCACGAGACGCGCCCTGGAATGTTGCACGCGGCAGCCCGTACTCACCTGCGTAGACGTGGCGTTACATTCACACACACAGTGTCAAGGTTAAAGAGTCGCAATTGAAATATTTTACAAAAATCCCAGGGTAACCATGAAAACAGTGATGGATTGTCCTATAGACTGGTTACACCCGCTTGGGTGAGGCTGTGTTTTTCCACTGTAAACCTCACCGTGTAAATTTGTATTAAAGATTAAAAATTATAAGTAGGCTATCGCGACCAATATTATCCATAAAACGTGTTTTTGGGTTAGATCGCTTAAATATAAAAGTGTCGTAAAACTCGCCACCACCCGACACAACCAATGAGTAAGCTTTGTCACGTAAATAAAATAAGTAATATTTAAAACTACTTTTTTTTTTAAACACGCTTTAATGAAATGTACCGTACTCGGAATGGCAGAACTCGACGACTCCAGGAAGTGACCCCGAAGCTTGCCACAACGTAAGGGACCGTTGTGATTTACAGCCAACGTCAGTTGAGCGTGGACAATTAGACCCAAGCCGAAACATACCATGTAAAAAATTATGTTTAAAAATACTTTTTTTTATAGAATATAGTAGTCATCAGTATGACGTAAGTATACCAAGTTTGCAGTCGATACCACATTGGGAAGTGGGTTAAAATTGAGTTAAAAGATTTGAGGATACGACAACAACAACAGTGAGTTAAATAAAAGCGTGTAATAATACTAATAAAAACATTCCCGCTAGGGTGAGGCTGTGCGTTTTGCCCAGCAAACCACACAGCTGTCAGTTAGTATTCAAGGTTTAACAAAAAAAGATTCCCCTAAACCAGGGGGTTCAGAAACCAAAACAACGAGAGACATTTTTTCTTATTTTTTACAATTCGGTAAGTAAAAGAGAAACCAAACAACGCATTATTTCAAGAGCCGTAATGCAACGTGGTGTGAGTACGAGAGACGGTGCTGGTGGTCCTTTGATCAATAAAAACGTCTCACGAAGCAGCCGTCCCTCAAAGAGCCGCACGCCGCTACGGAGCTGCAGGTTGACGACCCCGTGCCCTGAACCAACTGGCGTGAGCGTCAAGTAATAATTTAATAATGTTGTTATATTAATTTAACTATTATGTAATTGGAAATGGATAATGTTACGAATACAACTTAACCATCATCCGTCGATTCAAATTGGAATTTGTTAATAATCGTATTATAACAGTTACAGTGATTTATCATGCCGACTTACATTAATTTGTCTTGCAATGACCCACGGAGAGAGAAACCATTATCAACCACAGGGGTGATTTTATTCCATAATTTAACAATTTTACGAATAAAACTTTACCCTATTCCGTCGATTCAAGTTGTAATTTGTTAATTATTGTATAACAGCTGCAGTGATTTTATAATTCTATGTCTTGTTTTTTATGTTTTAAAGTAAAAGTTAATGCGAAATTTTTGCTACCCCCCCCCCCGCTGAGTGATTGGTACATTCCGAACAGCCCAACAGCTACGATGAGCAATGTGGATCAAAGCAGATAACGGTAACGCGATTTGTTATTATCACAGATGTTAATTTGGCATCTTTGGACTGACGTACACTAGAATCTGAATATTTATACTGCAGGAGGAATCCGATGACCTGCAAAGCTCTATTTAACAGACGTCCAGTAGGGGCACGGGGTATGAACGTTACAACAACAAACAGAACACAAACATGATAGTAGCACAAGCACAAGGAAAGTTAACACATCACCATAACACACCTAACAGTATTCTTAGGTTATTTCGGTAAAGTCACGTAGGTAAAAAAGTAAAAATAAAAATTAATAAAAGTAAAATAAAATAAAAATCACGACATTTCGGAGGCAACACAAGCTTCCGTCTTGCCTCCGAAACGTCGTGATTTTTATTTTATTTTTTATTTTACTTTTATTACTTATAATTTTTTACCTACGTGACTTTACCGAAAAAACCTAAGAATATGAATCATTGCAGTCACGAAAGTTTCAAATCTAGAACACCTAACAGTAGTTTAACACGTAAAGCCTTCGCGACCAATATCCATTATACAGTTTTATCGGGGGTGAACCATCTAACCCAAACAACCTGCATTATGGACATCTACAGTATATATAAATATGAAAGTTAGTAGTTCCCTGCGTCTTGTTGACATTCGGGTGATTGCCACAAAGTGCTTTGCTTTATCCACCGCTTTCTTTGTTGTCGGAATGCAGCGACGACTTCACCTTGACTCCGTGTCGCCATGGGCTGCGTCTGTAGCGCGTTGTGGCAAACGGCGTGCGAGTGGTGCAGCTCGTTGACGCACAGCAGAAGCAGCTGCTGCTGTTGTTGTACAACATTAATGGTTGACGCTTCATCAATGTCTCTTTCAATTCACTACACGCGATTTATCACCGATGTGACTTTTTTACTTTGACGACAGACACTTCTCATCGTTCTTGATTTGAAGCTGTCGTGACTGCAAGAATCCATACTCTTTGATTGTTTCGGTAAAAAAAATATCTACGTGACTTTACCGAAAGAACCAAGAATATAAAATATATTGTTCAATGTTTAAAATCGTCAATACCTAAACAAAAGAAGTCTTCATCACCTATTCTTGTCAATGTCAACATTTTACATCCTTTACTCTGGCTGATTTTGGCAGATTCTATTAATATTTATTTCTTACCAGGTAAGATCCACTGAGCTATATAGCTCTTTTCTTTAAGCGACCTGGCCACGATTGAAAGCTCAACAATAATTGAGGACTTAGTCCAACATGGAATGAATTCTGATGTACCTGCGCTGGTTAGGCATTGCTTTACCAACACCTATTTTACCTGGAATGGCACCTTCTACAAACAGAATGAGGGTACCCCTATGGGCTCCCCCTTGTCACCAGTTATAGCCAACATGTTCATGGAAAAGTTTGAATCAGACGCCATCCAGACATCCACCCTGCGTCTTTCCCTGTGGAAGAGGTATGTGGATGACACTTTCGTCATCTGGCCACATGGCCTCTCAGCATTGAACCACTTCTTGGACCACATCAATTCTAGACACCCATCCATCAGATTTACCATGGAAGTGGAGAAAGACGGTAAACTACCATTCTTGGATATTCTGTTTGAGAGGAGGCCTGACGGATCCTTGGGACATTCTGTCTACAGGAAAGCCACCCACACA